TGTGTGTCACTATATTACGACTTAGTATATTTGTATACATCAGCCTCCAACAGTTATAGTGTTTGACCAATATAACAAACACACATCTGATTAGATGTATACCTGAGGGATATGTGTCATAATGTGCCAACTCGCTCAAATACACAAATATCCCATATACACACATGCCACACACTTTGTCAGTGCATCTCCCTGTGCTCTAATCAGAGACAATTACTTGATCTAAGTTCTAGACTTACTTCTTAACTACTTTGTGACTAATAAAGTTGTGTATTTTCTCTGTGCGATAAATCCAGCTGTCAGATCCAGTCCCTGACTCCTGATCTCCCAGAAAATAGAGGGATTACAGAGGAGAATCGGCGTTGAAGCGATTCTGGGAGATAATGTGTGCCGCTATACTCACTCTAGGACGTCTCTGTTGAAGGGCTTCTTGCTGTTACCGAGGAATTCTCCGATCATCTGTCGACTCAGGCCCTTCCTCTGCAGCAGGAAGTGCGCCACACCGATGGGCGTGTCGGGGATGAAGCCTCGTGAGATGAGGAACTGAAGGCCTTTGTCAGGGTTTCTGAGACAAATGAGAAAAGGCAGAGTAAAATGAAATGGTGTTTTCTGTGATCTAGCAGGGCTTCAAAACTGCACAATTGTCCTGAATACCGATGGTGGATTAGTGACTGTGACAGTTGCCCTATTTAGTGTAGTATGGTAAACTGTGGTGATGAGGTACCTGCAGTGTTGTTGGAGTCTACTAAACGTGCTAAAAGACACAGCAGAGCCTTATTCGTATTCCCTCCCATGCTGAATTACAACATTCAGTAACGACTACAGAACAGCTCGACACAATGTTAAATTCAGAGGATACACTCTGAATCGTAATGGCTGATGGGGGACGTGGCTCTGAGTCCCTGCCGCTGATGATGCCCGGCCTCCGGGCATCATCGTTGGACTGACATAGGGCTAAGATTAGCTTGAGGCAAACTTTGACACGGTGATGGATTACCTTTGCCAAGTCTCTCTGGTTGACTTTTACCAGTGCACCAGAAAAACAGAAACCGGCGGCAGCATGAGGACTGTACAAGCTATAGTTTTATTTTGAAAAGAGAAGAAAAGATGAAATTACATTCTCTCTCTTAAACAAGTTTAATTTATTAGAAATTATTCACTCTTGCCTTTCTCGATAAACCCAGAGGTTGTGGTGCTCTAATTGTTGGAGCATTATTTGTAGATATTCTTTTTATTACATATATGTGTGGCTAGTAGCAATAATTACAGTTGGGCTTATGGACAGTAAAAAATGGACGAAATTACACAGATTTGTCAAAACTGTGTTGTCCAATAATGTTTTCACAGCATCACAAAAAATAACTCTGTAAAAACATCTTTCTTCAACCCTCATCACTTCCACCATCACCATCTGTTTGTTTGCCTTGAATGATGCAAAAACTTCTGAGCCAATTTTCTTTGAATTTGGTGGAAGGGTAGGGTACGGACCAAGGACAAACCTTTTGGAGCAGATTCAATTTCGAAGGAAATTTATTTTACACTTTCTTCAACAATGCGGGAGCGTTTTCCAACATTTTTGATATATTTCTCAAGAAGTAACACAAAGATCTTGATGGAAAAAAAAAAATCTGGCAGATTTAAGAGACTGATATCTGCAATTTGGTGCATCTGCTTGCTTGAATTGAAGGGGACAGTTGGGCCTTCATGGAGGTATGCGCTCTACTGAGTGCCTTTAGAAATGTGATTAGCATGCTGCAGATAGTGCATCTATACTATCTGCAACAGAGCTGAGAGCAGAAGAAGCTACTTCAACAAGATAAACCCATTAGTAAGATCCTTTATGTACACAGAGTCCTACAACCTCTTTGTGTGAGCGTCTGTGTGAACGTCTATTTGGCCGAGCAACAGGGTTTATTTTAATGCTCATGCTTTCAGAAAATTGCTATCACGAATCATTTGTTTTCAAAAAGCACCTCGCTGCCCATAGATAGCGCTCAACTGACTAACTTGCAGTAGTTAGTTATGTATGAAAAAGGAAATAATATCATAACTATTTATAACCCTATTAGACACAGAGTATGGTTGCTCTGGGGAGGACACTGCTGTCCCTCTCCTGTCTATACACAAACCACAACCTTATGTAACAGAGCGTGTGTGTTTGTGGAACCACAGCTAATGGGTTTAGTAAAGCGAGGGTGGGACAAAGGGGAGGGGAGGATAAAGGGCAGGACAGAATGGGGAGGGGGGGGGGTGCTGGATGAGGACCAGAAAGAACAGATGTGCAGGAGCAGGAGTGTGAGGACAGAGAACGAGGACGATGAGCACAGGCTTGACTTCCTGAAAGCATCTGTTGTGACGGCCTTGACGCACTCTCAGCTTCTCGCTCGCCCTCTCAGCTGAAGGTGATGTCTCGCCAAGCGATTTTGGCAGATATTGCTCGTTTGGTGTTTGCCCACAAACAGATGGTGGCTATTATTTGTAATTAGAAGTGGACTGAGGAGTGAAAATGGAAATGCAAAAGGGGGGGAAATGATGCAGCAGATATAGAATAGATTGATTTAGATGCTTAATGCACGACAACACTGTCCTTACCAGAAAATCATATGCGTTGGTGGTTTGTTCATATTCTGAAACTGACCCTGTTTACATTTGACATGACATGGACCTCTTGTAATGATGGCGGTCGTTCCTCAGGAGCAAAGAAGGACGTACTCATATGTTTTTATGACGTAGAGTCAGCTGAGTAGGCATCTTATCTTAGACCAACTCCCTGCAACACTATTTTCCTAGAAGTTTTCCATTACTAAGTTGTATTTCCAGTTGTCTGTGCAGACTACATGCATTTGGGCAATGGCTGTTCTACGTATGTATAACACAAGCAACCTCGACCCTCGTCCCATTATAAATACATCCCTCCCCCATCTTGACATTCACTTATATTTAGATTAGATTAGATTAGATTCAACTTTATTGTCATTACACATGTACATGTACAGGGCAACGAAATGCAGTTTAGCATCCAACCAGAAGTGCAATAGGCAGTAAAGTGCATGTGGCATAAATATTGTGGTATATAAAAAGTATGTTACATGTTGTTTTTACAGTGTATGGACAATATTTACAGATCAGAAGCTATGTACAGGTGAGACCATATATACAGGTTAAAGTGAGCAAGATATACATAATGATTGAGGGAGGTACTATGAACATATTATACAGATGGATTGTTCGTTAAGTGGGAGAAGACTATAAACAGGAACTAGCATAACATTTGCCATCTATTTCATTGGCAGCGGACAGATGTGCAATGTCCGTGCCTTAGAACTGTGTTTTATGGCCCTTACAGGAGCCTCACTGTCAGCATGTTGCCTATTTCTCCAGATGCACACGTTTCTGTTTACATTGCTAACCAGTGATAGATTGATGGGCGGTTAGCGTCCCTGTATATTTCCTCTGAGAGGAAACACTATTGTGTGGTGTAACTGTAAACGCTTCAAAACCCACAATCATCACACTGATGTGGAGTCACTGTTGCAAAGCGTTGCTCTTGTCCATCAACTACGCTTAGTTTTGCTGAGAAAGCAACTGAGAGGAGAATTTAGTGATCTGGCTCCTTTCTTTAGGTTATTACTTTAAAGCAGTGGTTCACAATCTTTGTTTTCAGATATTTGTCCAGAGCTCTACATTCATTTATTTATTCTCCTCCCAGGTGCAAGACATAGCATTCTGATGTTACAGCTTTACTGAGTCAAGTTTATTTATAAAGCACATTTAAAAATACCAGAGTAAAATGACGGAAACCATCTTTGAATAAAAAATTACTTTGTACTTTTTAGTTTGATCCATGTCCCATTTGGTTACATGGAGGAGACTTTGTTATTGCTCATCTTTATTTTCAGTCTCTGGTTCATATTATATAAAAAAGGATAATCTCACCATCTGTATTCTTTAACTAACAAACACAGATGTGGACAAAAAGGCAGTTGGGTTCTTCTGTGTGAGACTGGAAATGCTGCCTCTATTTGCCATCTGGTTTTCAGAGTTTGTAATTATGGACTGGGTCATTTAGCACCGAGGGCAGAATGTTAATACAGAGAAGGTGTGTGTACGCACAAAATGAGCACACACTCGTATGAGGTTTTTATAGAGCACTCTCCTCCTGACGTCAGGTTATCCCTCTCGAGGAGCTCTGCAGGCTTTGTTGATCCACTCTCTTAATTAGCCTCCCTTGACACACAGTGTGTATTCAGATTTCTCAGTTTGAACACTTATACCATCACCTATGCATCTCTTCTGCCAAGTTCTCTTTTATTCATAAAGCTCTGATCGCGCTTCGTTTTCATGCATGTGTCGGGAGTCCACCGTGAGTTATTCTGATGTTTAATCAGTGCTTTCACTCAGATAGAATATCCAAGGAAGGAACTGAGAATAAGGGAATTTGTTATAAAATGGAAAGAGTCATGCATACAAAAGAAAATTCTGCTCGGGCATCTGTCATTAATATCACATCCTCGCCTCTATGTCTGCTCCCTGTTGGAAGTCCAGCTCCCTCGAGTGATAGCGGCGTCCTATAAACACTCCATCCTCACATATCACAATATCTGTGTCCCAATTTGGCCTGGGAAGCTGCGTAGACCACGGAGGCCTTTGCAGTGATATGAGTCACCAGCTTGTCCCACCCTCAACAGAGCTGCAGTTGGACCAATGAGAAAGTTTTAGGTTTGGTAAATTGTTTCTGAAACTCTCTTTATCTTATTTGGTTAAATTCTAATGAAGAAAAAAAGCTGACATTCTTGTCGCTCACCCTGCTCGGGCTCTCGCTGCGCCTGATCAGAGTGCGATACCCAGAAGATAGCGAGTGAGTCACGGATAAATTGACTTGTAGCAGTTGTCAGTTGGTGCATGTTCACGTGTTTTGGGGGCATAGCTGTGACAAGAGGGTCGGGGGAAAAATTTTGCCTGCTCATGCTAGCTTTTCCAAGATTACCAACTTTGATGCCCCTTTTTTTAACATGTGTCCCGTTAGCTGTTCTGTTGAATTGAAGCCTGATATTTAAACATGTCAGCATTGGATATTTTGGTCTTGTTGCTTTAAAAAACTGTTTGTTACCGAAAGAGTCCTTGGGCAGGTTGGCCATGAAGGATCCACCCGTTGAAGACCTTGTTGCTCAGGATGCATTTGAATGAGCCTTCGAAACATGTCAGGCTAGTTGCACCGCAGTGACATAACCAGTTCTCAAATGCAGCCTCCAAAGGAAGCGGTCTCTAAATTGAGATGCAGCTATTGTCATTCCAGACACACTCGAGTCGGAAACTCTCTCAAGTGACAACCTCTGACCCCTCACACCCGTCCTTTCTGTGTCTCTTCCAGTTCGTCTCGCTTGATTTTGCACTCACTGTTCTACCTTTCCCTTCCTACACACACACACACACACACACACACACACACACACACACACACCACACATTTCTAGCTTTTCCTGTCTTTATTCTACTTTCTCCTCTACCTTTCTCATTCCTGGTGCACAGACCACCTGCTGCACAACACACTTATACACGCTACAATACCTGAGAGACTGTGTGTGTGAGGTTTTTTGTCTGCATGATCAAGCAATACCCAAGTTTTAGCTCAAAGCAATCAGCTCTGTTTAAGATGCAAAGGATACAACAGCGCAGGTATTAGAGGGAGGATATGAACTGGTGGAACTAATAAGCCTCAAGCTCCGTAGCCCACTCTCTCTCTTTCTCTTTCACTCTTTTTTTCACTGCTCTCCCTTATTCATTCTATCTCTCCCTTCCCTTCTAGCCAATTTAATAAAAGTCAGCTTATCTTTCAAGGTGTTTGATCAGGGGAATGAGAAGAGGGGATTGCAAATAGACAGAAAAGGCAATTAAACCTGTCAGTTTATTTATTTAAAAAAAAGTCACTTAAAAGTAACGGACCCTCATCATCAAACGTCGAGCCTTCGTCAAACAGTCATTATGAATGTGTACAGTCCTCACTTCCTCTCAAGAGATACTAGAGAAAACTGCGGAGTGTTTTAAATGCAATGTGAACAAACAGATAAACGTTAGATCCAATTTTTCTCTGCTGTTCAGACTTACACCATAGACAGTAGTGATCGGGGGAATGGCATCGCGACCAATCACAAGTCTCAGTCTCAGCTGTCAATCTTGAAGTATCGACCCCATATTTATGGAATGAACTGAAAGCAAGCTCGAACAGAACGTTTTTATTTTGGCCCATGTCCCAAACACGGGGGAGGCGGTATTTAAGACCTAAATATACACCATACAAAAATAAATACTCAGATTTAAGCTGAACTTGACAACTCTTTTTACACATCTTTAATTCATCTATATTCTCTACCTTGTCCATTTCCCAGTGTGATTATTTCCTCTGCATCCTCCCTCTATGAACAGCTTGTTCCTGCTTCCCTTGTTTTCAGTGTCATGCTCCAGCATTGAGTCAAAACTAATCGGCTTTATTGTGCACTATTACGGCGCTGCAGAGCTTGGCAGTGAGCGAAAAGATCATTCTCGTTTACGAGCTGCAGCCTCCCAAATATGAGTGAAATGGCTTAATTGGAGCCATATCTTAACAAAAAATCTTGTCATTGTTCTGCACTCTAATGAAATGCAAAGTATCTGCCCTCACTCCAAGATTATTTTGGAAAGCAAAGGCAGCTTTCACCCAAATGGTTGTGTTTAAAAAAACTTGCTTGGATTGAAATGTTAACATATTTTTCATCCCATGCAGTTCCCAAGGTGGCGGCTCACACAGTGCATTTTAATTACATTCACGGCTCGCAGCAGAATGACTAATGAGAATTTCAGGCCTTCTAGATCATTGCCATTATTATATTTTTTAGATTTACCCCTAATGTATTCTGACTAATTGATGCCGAACCAGTCCACCAGTGGTTGAGCTCAACTTGATATAACTGAGTGAGTCTAGTTCATTTATTTGAATATGTGGACTGTTCATGTCCTTCAGGGTATGCTCTGGGTGAAAAGCTAATAGAGCATATGGTAAATATCTCTATTTAATAATTCCATCTATTTTTGCCGTTGGCTGCGTAGCTATGTGTTTACACTTCTGCACTCAAAGATATTTAGCCTCAGTTTGACTGACAAATATAAAACTAAATGAAATATTATAACATTTACTTATTTATATTAAAACTTAATAATCAAAATGGCTGGAAATATTCCTTTCAATTAAAATAGATAGAGGCTAAATATTTTGAGAGTGAGAAAGGGTTACTCAGTTTTTGGATGATTATAAGTTCTTCTCTACATCTATTATTAATTAATTCAATGAGGAACCTACTGGAGGTCGTAATTCAAAACCAATATTTCTGCTCCAATACTTAAAAACATCTCTAGGATTAAAAGTTTGTCTACAAAAAACTTTAACAGATCCAGTCAGCGCTGGCCTCATCTGCTGCTGTCACCATGGCGACACCGTCTCTTGCCTCTTCCTGCCATGTAATCACCTGTCTGGAGTGTGTTTTGAGGAAGTTCTTATCTGGTTTTGACTTTGTCACTCTTCACTAGGCAGCGAGCGGAGCTGAATACACAATGACTGAGAAGCTGCAACCGGCAAACATAAACAAGCTGCTTCTCAAAAAACAAAACATGATTTTTATTTCTCTCTGCCAACGCATTCTTGAAACCCAGAGGAAAATGCAGTGGTAGCTGGGCAGCGGTCGGAATGCAGAGTAACTTGCATCAGTTTTACATCAAGAAGTTGACATTTGAGCAGACTATAGGGACGTGACCCCTGACACAAATGTCGATTAAACTGTCGAGTTTAATCTCATAAAATAACCCAATATTCGTTCAGGCTAACGTTAGCAGCTCTGTCCTGCTCCTAGTAGGTAGTTGGCAAAAAAATGAAAAGCTCAACAGGTGTTGCAAAAGGCTGTAACTGCCATTTCCACCACCACTGGGAGTGTAATGAGGTTATCACGATCCCTCTTGCTCTCAGTCGGGTCACATTGCCTTCATTTTATCCCTTTCCTCTAACAAACCAGTCTTTAAACAGTACCCTGTCTGAATGATTCATCGTCTTTTAGCCTCAGTGCTGATTTGTCTTTCTGAGAAAAAAGAAGACACCTTAGATTTACAGATAGGGACTCTGGCTTCATTCTGTTTGTTTTTTCAGCACATTGGGGACGTGTGAGGAAAGTGCTTTTCTTTTTCTTTTTTGAGCCCACTGGGGCCCGTCCAACTTTAGATACACCTGAGGATATAGCATGAGGTACTGACAGTGCCATACATCAAATTGGACATTCAGTGTTCGGTTCTTTCTAATATATACACGTTCTTTCAACTTGAATGTTCAGCAAAACTGCATTTCTTTATCTGTGTCTGTATAAAGAGATATGAATTTAGTCAATTTCATAGCTTAACAGTTAACAGTGGTTCAGAACTGATAAAAAACAGAATGGTTTCAACTTCTATCAGAATTGTATGAATGCATGAGAATGAAAATGCAGTGGCCACTCACACATTGAAGAGGTTGAGGCCGATGCGGTAGAGGCGTTTTCGCATGACGTCAGTGGACAACGTGGGTGATTTACAGCTGGCAGGGTTCTCACAGTGGTAGCGTGGCAGGCTGAGGATCATAGCCTGCAGGGCCTCCTTGGATGAGGCTTCTGATGTGGAGCGTGCCTCTGTGGACGTGCTGCTGCTGCTCATCTGCTCCGAGCTGTTATCTGCCATCTCAGAGCCACATCTCTTGACCCCCAGAGGCTCCACCACAGGAGAGCTCTGTGGTGGGGGGGCTCGAGGGGATTCTGTGGGTGGTGGGGACACCACCACAATATTCTCTGCACTGTGCGTGGCAGCCATCTTTTCAAGAGGGGTAAGGGGAAGTTGCTCGTCCTCCCCTAGCTCTTCCTCACTTGGAGGAGGAGCAGGGAATTCAATATCCTGCTCTCCTACTTCTGTCTCTGATTCTGGGGGGGGTGGGGGTTCTTGGGGAGGCGGTGGGGGATCTATAGGTTCAGCTGGGACCTCTGCAGGAGGAGGAGGGGGTTCTTGAGGGGACTGAGGGCCACCGGAGACTGGTGTTGTTGTTGTGGAAGCGGCTGTGACAGTTGTGAAGGCTCCTTCTTGTTGAACGCAGCTGCCGAGTGTGACAGAAGTGGACGATTCCATCACTGAAGATGAAACGCTGAAGTTCTGGCTGTCGATTTTCACCGTCACATCTCGAAACGCCATCATCAACTTGCTTGCACTTCTTGACAGGTCACTTGGGTCCACAGGGCCTTGATGAATCGCTGACTCTCCCACACCCCCTCCTTCTCCCACCCCTGCAGCTGCTGCTGCTGCTGCTCTACTGAAAGAGTCGGCACTGAACTGATAGGTGCCGCCTTCCTGCAGTGAACACATGGTCTTCAGGCTCCAGTTGCTGAGTGCATCATCTATGGACTTTGCCAGTGACTGGACCTGTTCAGTGAAGGAGTCTTCCAGGTCAGTCAGGGTGCCACCGACTGTGGCAGGCAGAGATGGTGAGCGCACCAATGGGATGCCTGCCAAGTTACAGCCTTCTGCCAGGGCCCGTTCAGCAGAGAAACCCTCCGTGTTTTGCACACGGACCTTGCGCAGGGAGATACGTCGAGGCAGGCGACTTTCCAGCAGTGAGTTGCGGATCTTCTCGAAGTTCTTGCTGAGCTGGTACTGGCGGAAGGCAGTCTGGATCTTGCAGGCGGCACGGCGGGAGATGAGGTGTCCACCGTATTTGTGCTCTAACATTTCGATCTAGAAAATACAAGACAGAAGAACAAAAAGGAAATTAATGAAATGGTGGAATTTACAAGAAAGAGATAACAGCCTATAATCTTTAAAGGCATTTTGCGATAACTGTAAAAATATTGACTATGTGGAATCAAGCCTTTCTGACAACTCTGGCTGTGTAGTGATAAAAGATTTCAGAACAAACAGAAAATACACAAATATGGATTCTAAAAAAAAAAAGTCCAATAGTCACAGATCTCTTTGCTTGTGATTCCCATAAGAACCTGCATAAACTAGAGTTATACTCTGGGTTAGGGCTGGGCAAGTTACTGACCTAATTTTCCCCATGTTTGGTAAACACTTATAAATTATCAAAGTTTGAAATAATCGAGATATTGATTTGAAGCCATATCGCCCAGCCCTACTATCGGTTATATTTTTATATTCTCCTGTCCTTCTGGGGTGCATGAAAAATGAACATGTATGAGTGGAATAGCAGCGTAGATGGAATGAATGGGGTTAATAGGAAATGGGATAATTGTTGTGGAAAGGAGGAAATAAATGCAGTTTACAGGGGATGGAGGCGGTTGTGAAATCCAATTTTTGCAAGGAGCAGGCACAGTTCAGATATTAAAGTCCACTAACTCAAATAACAATATTCTCAGATGGTTCAGTAATTGTATTTTACAAGCTTGTCTTGTGATGTTTGTACTGGAACTATATACAGTCTGGTCAATGCCACAGTTTAAAAGAGGGAGCACAGTAGTAAAGCCTGACTCATGGCATTTGGACAAACTTTTCATTTCCTCAGCAAATAGAACTCATAATCTCTGTGAATTCCATGGAGAGGTCCTCCACGCAACTTGAAATCGTCTGAAACTGAACAAGCCATTAATCTTGCCTGTGAAAAATTGCTCAAATGCTGTGGGAAATAGATAGAGGTATAAAATAGCCATCCTCATCTGGCTGCAGCTCAAACACTAGATGAAACCTCATTGAGTTTCCCAGAACAATCGGGGTGTGGGTATCTTTAGAAGTGCCCAGAAAGTGCTTATCTTCCTGAGTCACTTTGAAATCCTTTTCATTCAGGCTAAATCAATGAATACAATTCGGTTTCTGTTCTAACTCCATCAAGGGCACAAGTGTGGAGGAGGTTTTGAGCTTAGAAAGAATAGAGGTATCCCATTCTGTCATTTCAACGACATAAAAAGAGGTACATGTTCTAAATATGCTGCTTAGGAATGCAAATTAAAAATAGCATGCCAAATTCGAGGAAATAGAAATCCTTGCTGCTCCCTCCCTCTGTGTTCACTTAAGAATTTGAGCTGGCTTCTTGTGTCAGGGTGAACTGTACATGAGGATTAATTTGGTCCAAGTAAAATACCCTTCCTGTGTATTCAAAAGCAATTGAGCGAATCGTTCCTGCGCCCACCGAGGATCAAAATGTGACTTTCAACCGCTAATCTTCTTTCGCTTTAGTCTCAGACAAAGTCACCACAGCCACCTCAGATGAACTCCTGCAAAGAGGCACTGATGGGCTGTAATGCCATTAGTGATAAGTGGTGACTTCAACAAGATGCAGTCCCTCTGATTGTCATTAGAGGAATGAAATCACATACAAAGCTTTTTAGAAAAGTGGAATGACACTGAAAATCCATCTTATCTGCTCCATTTACAGTTCACTGCAGAGCCTTTGTGAGCAAAGTGAGACATACTGAGAATATTAAGGTATTTTCCTGAATAGAACTGTGGTTTGGAGAACTACTGTGTCTGCTGGTGGCAGCTTCTCAGCAGACTGGCTGAACTCTGTCTGAATATTCATTACTTTTATAACTGGATTGTTCTGTGGCTTCACCGTGTCTACTCGACGACAAGGTTAGCTCGACTGCTCATCAAAATAGACTTTGTAGTTTTCTGTTTTTAAAAAGACGGGCACAAAATGTAATATGATTGTCCTCAGTTCTCAGAAAGGTGTCCCTCATCATCAAAACAAATTCGGCAGAGAGTTTCACTGCAGAGGTACCCTTGGACGCAAGACAGGGTCGTCAGTGAGGCAGCGTTTGATTAAACGAGGCAGGTGAGCTTGTTTTGGCTTTTGTGTAAGGCAGGTCGGGGATGATGAATAAAGCATTTGGGTCACGTTGCTTTCTTTATCAGTGTATATCTGATACACTTTGCACTTCAGGTGGAATTCCGGCCACCGTGTCGAGCTGAGACACGATGAACGGAGGAATAAAGCATAAAAGAAGAGAGAAGAAGGGAGAAGGACAATATGGCAAAGAAGAACTTGGCGGGATGCAAGTCCATTCCAAGAGTGGCAGCCCCCCATTAGCCCACTGTCAATCCTAACACTGATTACTTCACTAAGTGCAGATGGAGCGAGATTATTCCAGAGACACAGTGGTTTGACAGAGACACATGGATGGCACGGCTCTGTTCCACCAGGGTCTCTAAATGGATTTTGACAGGCAGATTAGCACCACGCTGACCTCACCATGTTCCCCTTTTGAATGAGGGAAGGGTGGGAAACAACCAGGTGCAAAGTGGGATGAGACTTTACAGTACAGTAGGTGTTGAAAGGCTGGAGAATGTTTGTGATGAGAGATTTAAGTCTTGGTTTGAGATTTGAAAAGTAAAGATAGATATTGCAAGATGCTATTTAGAGGAAATGGATGGAAAAGGGAGCACCAAATGAACATGTAAACATTTAAAGGCAAATACATCAGTCTTTAAACCCCCTGAAGTCCCAGGCGGTTATGATTTGGAAATTTGAGGTAATAATTCTATAATATTATTAATACTATACTATAATAATCTCTTCTGTCGTACCATATAAGAGAAATTCCTGTGATACCTTATACTACTACAATTTACTCATCAAACTGGGCTTTATTTTAAAAGTAAAGCTCATAACTTCACCTCCTAATAAATTTGGATTTTTAATATTTAAGTATTTCTCTATTTATGAGTTACAAGTAGCTTTGACAATTTTGATGAAACTCATCTTTTTCAAATGCCAGTTAAATACCAACTAAGTCAAACAGCGATTTATTTGTTTTTAATTCCACAGTTCCATGAGAAGATGATACTGATTAAAATCCTGATTCATGGGGTTTCAACCTTAAAATGTGCAGCAGCATAAAAAAACAGCAAATCTCTCATGCTGCAGAAATACGGGGGCAAGATGCAAAGCTGCAATTATCAGCGTTCATGCTCATGCACACTTTCTCACAGCACAGAAACATCTGCATGATTAATGAGATGATTATATAACAGCAAAACTGGGACACGGCTAATGCTGACTGTATTACAGAATGAGGATGACAATTGCAGATCCGTTTAGCTGATACATCCGTGACCAAAGTCGGTGACCGTAAAAGGTCAGTAGTTTGTTGAACACTGACTCTGACGCAGAATAAAGTTTGTATTTATGAAAGAAAATAGAATTCTAATGAGTGATCTCATTCAAACAAACAAAATTGTGACTGAGAGTTTAGATCAAATGGCAGATAGTCTGAGAAACACTGATTAATTTAAGGAAACTTATGTAGCTCAAGGAGGAACTTGAGGACTCATTTAGCTGAGCAGGTCTGCAGCAATTTACATTTTCATTCCTGTTTCTATGCAGTTTTTTTCTATTTTTCTGAAATCTTATTCTGGGAAATGTCTTGCGGCTTCTTATGTTGTTTTTATTTGTGTGCCACACACCAGTGAAAAATAAATGTTCATTATTACCTGCGTTATTGGACAATAAGGTTTTGGATCTTGAGACAAAACGAAGTTCTGACCAGGGATTGGAGAAAAACCTTTTTAGTGTGTTTCTTCTGATTTCAAGTTTAATTATTCAAATTATAAGCTGGCAACTATTCTCTGCTTGTTATATTCAACAATGTGGAGGTTGAGCAGAAAGTGTTTTAATATTATTTAATGTTGTTATATTATTACTGTTATTTTCCACAAAGACTTTGTCATGACCATTTAACACAGTTGTTTTTCTAACTAAGTAACTTGAGAGTTCAAACAGAGAGGCGACTCCTTCGACAGGAAGGCGAACAACCTCAACATTTTTGCTGTTGCAGTGTTAATGCATTCAGCTGAACTCTAGAAACACAGAAATACATATTAATGTTATGTAAAACATTTTCCCTGTGGCACGAGAGCAGAAACGTGAATGCAAAGATTTACCAGCTTTCTGGTTTAAAAGGTTATTTAAAACTGAAAAATTGTCTTAATTTAAACCAAGTTAAAGTGAGTTCAAGCTCCAGCACTTGGTCATGTGGATCTCGACCAGCAATCAAGGTATCACCCCACAGATACAATTACCCTGACATTGATCTGTAGATCCATCAAGACCCTGCATCCCCAGCTGTTCGGACGGAAGATCAATCTAGCTGATTGCGTATCTCCAGCATCGTTGACAGGGAGATAGTGAACGAGTGAGGAAAAGAGTGTAAATGGAGGTGAGAGGGAGCCGCGCGTTAGGAGCTGAGGTTAAAAGAACCTTGGAGAAGTGATGAGTGAGGAAATGAAGTCAAACCTGAGCAAAACTGGATCTGACAGGTTGACATTAAACAACCATCTCACTCAGATTCATAAACGTTGAAGGTTAGTCGCTCGGAAAATGGATTGTAGTAAATATCAACGATAAAACTTCTGCACTTTTCTGTTTCTTCTCATTTACTGGATTTAAAGCAATATAGACACAATTCACATTACACTGACTGTGTCGCATCTGTACAAATGTTGCTTCACACTTTGTGTTGGTGCCCTGAGGCTGAGAAACACTTAACTATAGATTTAAAGCTATAAACTTACAGAACTCAACTTGTTTTGTCCCCCAAAAAAATCTATAATCTAAATATTTCATTTGCAGCCTTTCAAAACAGACAAATCAATAAAGTTGTGGAGCTGGAATCTGCCAAAGTTTGGCATTTGACCTTGGGGAAATTAATCTAAAGTATTATTGTTGCTGTCTCATAAAATTGGGGAACTTGTAATTGAAGCACCAGAGGCTTGTGACTGTGTCATGGACTGTATATAAAGACAAGTCTCAACTTCTTCCCACCATTCACAAATGAAGCCAAAACATCCCAGATGCTAACGAATCAAATAACTAATTAAAACCAAACATGCTCGAACAATTAACCATTTCGGGAAAAAAAAGTATATGAGGCAGATAATCCCACAAACACTGGATCCTATATTTCCCATAATGCAACTTTTACTAATAACTATTATTATTTGAATCGACACTTTACACTTCCTGTTTGTGATGTAAACTTAACTAGATTTCAAGTCTGAGCTGCGATAACCTTGATGAAAGTTTTTATGGCTGTGAGTGTAATGAAAGTGTAAAATCAGTGCACTGCCCCTTTAAACCATTGATCTTATCTATTATTTGTTATTCAACCTTCGTAAAAATCGAAGTGCCGGTCCCAGAGAACTGACCGAGGGGGGGGGGGGGCAGATTTGGAGCCCCTCATGTTGGACCCAAGCTCTGCTGCCTTACCTGGTCGTCGGTCCACGGACTGGAGGATGTCAGTTAAATGGATGATAATGAAAATGGATGGCGAATGGTTAATGGTTCTCGATATGGAGACGACAATGCAATGCAGATGATTTCCCAGCCCCTGATGAAGAACACAGACGTGAGAACATGGGAGACACATGTACAGATACAGTCACAGTTCATGGACACGTCAGTGTCAGACAAAGTAAACAGTCACATGCGTTTAGATTTTCATCGTCCAGCAGCAAAGAAAAGACATGCAGATACAAAATCAGTTTGTTTGGACAGTGTCTTCATTTGATCTTGTGTGTATGTGTAAATATGCATCATTGCTGAAACAGAATCCTGAACCTGATGAACATGAGTTTCTCTAATCTCAGAAAATTACAGCACAGCTTTAAAATACCAATTTATATTAAGTTGCCAAACACGCACATTCACAATCCAACTCTAATGAAAGACGAAACCAAGTGAAGATGTTGATGAAATGATGATATGGCGATTATGATAATGCTGGTTAATGATGATGATGAAGAGGAATTACAGTTTGGGTCGTCAAAAAGAGCCAATAAGGATCAATACTACAAAAACTAATTTAAAGAAAATCCCATCAAACAGCAGTTCTTCCTCCAAAACAAACCTCCTCCGACACAAACATCGAACATGTCGGACCACAAGACGTACAAAACACACAAGCCAAGTTACTGTACTTTCCGCCCCTCCCCCAACCCCGTCCCTCATCCCCCCCAACACAACCCTACCTGCTTATTTTTGAGGTCAAGCGAGAGCTCATAGTCGGACGTGGCCGTGTGCGAGCCGGCGCCATTGCGCTGCACCCTCATGGGCGAGGCCGTGTGGTGCAGGCTGGCCCTCCTGGCCGCCCCACCTCCTTTAGCGCCTCCCCCTTCCTCCTCCTCCTCCTCCTCCTCCTCCACCTCTTGCTCCTGAGCTGCTTCACCCTCACGCCGCTCGGCCTCTGCCTCTCCCTCTTGCTTTCTCTTCGCCTCGGCAACGTCTTCCGACTTTTGGTTCTCTTGCTCCCCCGCAGGCTGCACTTCTCCGCATGGTGAAGGGGGTTCAGGTGCGTCCTGTACGGCTTCCTCGCTTGGAGTCTCGACTTGAGGCTGAGGCTCGGGCTCCGGTTCGGGCTGGGGTACTGGTTCGGGTTGAGGCTGAGGTTTGATTTCGGGCTGTGGCTCTGGCTCTGACTGCGGCTGTGGCGGTGGAGTCTGTGGCCGAGTCTCTTGCTGCTGTGGTTGTGGTTCTGGTTGTAGTTCTGGTTCAGGTTCTGGCTGTGAATGGGCCTCACTCTGCAGCTCCCCCTCTCCTCCCTTCCCTTCCTCCCCCTTAGACGATCCTGGAGGAAGGTCATCGCTGCAGAAAGGAGGAGAAAATGCAGAGTGAGGTTGCTGCTGCATCCGTGGTGAGCTCTGACCTCTTCTCCACGCTGCCTGGGTTAGTGGTAAGAAGTTGACCCTGTGTAATGTGTCACTCTGTGTGCAGGGCCAGTTCACCTGTCTACCTGCTCTGTCCTGTCTGCCTCTCTTGTCTGTCTGCACACTGACAGACAATGGTAAACGAGGAAAATGCACAGCACAGAACAGCGAACAGCAAAACCACAGTGTGCAAAAAGAAAAAAGATCAAAAGCGATTATTTATTTCAACAAAATCTTCAGAAGAGAAAATGTGAAAAAACAAGAAGGTTGACAGCCCATTGTGACTCACGCCTACACACACACACACAGACACACAGAGACATGGGGGACGGTCATGCACTAATACAATAAGTCTTTCAGACCATATGTGCTCTTGTGTTTAGGTGAATGGAGGCTGTATGAGTGTTAGTGTGGGAGGTGGCAGTTTTTTATGGTGTAATAACAACACAAGGTGCGACCTGAAACACAGAGGGAAGGTGTTGTTGCAGTGTTTTAATTTGATCGGATCCTAAAGACCAGCTAGAGACTTGTTCTTCCTCTTCTTTCTTTCTCTTCACCTTCTTTCTTGTATTTTCTGGTGCAAAAAGATGCTTAAATCCCACCTGTCTTTATCTCTTCCAGTGTCTTATTCTAGTCGGCCATTAAAGATGAGGCAGTGACAAACTCATCTGTGCGTATTTCACGCAATGTTTCATGTTCTATATATAAGTGTATCTACTCAAGAGAGCTGGCGTTTGGTGTGAAAACACCAAATCTTTAGAGACAACAAATGTCAGCTGTTAGTTTGGGAGCATCTTGATCTATTGACTTGTTTACTGCACCGTCTTCTCTAGTTTGTCAGCGTATTGTAAATCATTTGCAATATTGTCCTTTCTAACGTGTCAGCTGATGGCTGTAACAAACATTAAGAGTCTGCTTCTGTGTTTAAGGAGCTATAAGGATGTACTTAAACTGCCAGAGGGCTTTGTGAAACCCCCTGCCGCCACATCTTTTCAACACTCAAGGGGATCATTCCTTTAACTAACAACTAACAATACAACCTTCACCACCACCACTGTATATTTTGATAGGCTGCATTCAGTTTTCGACCCGAGCCGGATGTTTTCCCAGATTACAGGCACGTGCAGCTATAAATTTCAGTTATTAAACCAAACAACCTGACCATTCCGACCCAAACTCAAAAATAATTTCAAAGTTTTCATTCAAACCCAGCCTGAGGCTGCTGGACCTGTTGGGACCTGTCAGGATTCGAAGGGCTTGGGTCCGGTCTCCACATTCTAGTGCAACGGTGATTAAGTAAAAAGGGTTTGAACTTGTTTCTCAAGATTTATTTTCTCATAGATTTCCTTTAAGACTTTTTCTGTCACTTTTGTTAAATGAGTTCAAGGATAAACCTTCTAGGAGAGAAATTGCAGTTATCCTCATATTTAAATGAAAGCAAAAGACTTAAAAAGAGTAATGAGTTGAAATGAAAATCGTTCATGCACAAATGAATCAGGTTCTAAGTTCCAAATGAGTCACAATCAGTGGCAGATCTATGATTTGTCTAAATCAGGGGCCATAAAGGGGCCACAATTTACACAGCGGGGTCCAGCATCCATGCACCATTCCTGATTCAGTGACATTTAGATAATTCCTTGTTTACTGATTGGTCTGCAGCTTGGAACAAAGACACACATCATTGAATATATTTTGTATATATGTTCCTTGTTTAAGCAAGCAGATTGTAATATTTAGTTAGTCATGACTGACTAAAAGTTTATTTTAATAAAATACTACTGACATGACATGGGCACTTCAAGGGCCAATCAGATTTCAGCTGGGGCCAGCAATCTGACAGCTCAGGCCCCACCCCTGGTCTGAATGTTCACATTGGATTCACACCAGGTTTTACACACTCGTGGACAGTGGCCGTGATAACAGCTGGGCTTGTTTTTATCCAGATTAAGATAAGGGTTGTATTTTTATTTTTTGGGATATGGTGATAAGATTGGAGTCAACGAGCACACAATCAGGACATCCACTCTGCCATATGCAGAGTGCTGCGGTAGAAAATCAGCTTGATTCTCCCCAGAGCAGGAGGAGGAGGCTTCACATCGAGGACAAACTTTTAGTCTTAACAGCACAAATCTGCTTGTTTGCCAAAGTTGCAGAGACAAGTGAAAAAGTCAACATGAAGGGGGGGGGGGGGGGGGGTAACCTCTATACATGCCCACCCAATTATGTGTGCATGCGGCTAAAAAAGTGCTGTCTTATATAAAAGAGTGTGTCAATCTATACGTCTGCTTATATCCTTTTCTAGCCCTGTGTGTGTGTGTGTGTGTGTGTGTGTGTGTGTGTGTGTGTGTGTGTGTGTGTGTGTGTTTCAGTCTGATTCAAACAGAATTGTGTACTGCAGAAATCCTGTCTACTTTCTGCACAAGAGGCTTACTTCTCATATTCATTGCACATGGCAGCACATTTGAGGAGAAAGTATCTTTAGCAGGGGGTATAGCTGGGTCTGCTCCATCTAAAATAGAGCTTGTACGAGTAATGAATAATGAATAGAGAAATAAAGTCTGCTGCCTCGACACTCAGTTTGCAGGTGAGCTCCTTTCCTTGTGCAAAAAATAGTCCTGCTCGGAAAAACAGAAGACTTCGATTAGGAAGGGAGTCGTTCTGTAGCGAGGCGTCACTGTACGCAATGTTTTCCGCTCCATGTTGCAAGTCTGAATGTAGCGCGTCACGCCTATTTGCATTTTGCTGAAGCACTTATAGTGATAGAGATAATCTGACAACCAATAGGCGGGATTTAAGTCAAATTCTGATCAAAAAAAGTTCTGCATACTGTTGATAACCTAAAAAAGGGGATAAAGGGGATTATTTGCAAGGACATAAATAAATCACCATATAAGGTGAATGCAGTCAGTGGTGACGAATGTATGCATATGTATGTACAGCATACTTGTGCATGAGCTCGACCACGCCTCTACTTTCCTCCAACGCCACAATTTCTTTCATCCATTTTGACACACACAGACACACTCACCCTTCCTGCCACTCTGTCCTCCACCGGGTTTAAGGAGATTGAGTGGTTCCAGGTGACAACGTGATTGACGAGGCGGAGACGAGCCTTGGACACTGCCTCCCTCCTCCATTTTTTTTTTTTTTTTTTTTACATATGTCAGTTCTGAGGATGGATGAGTGCAGCATGCGTTCCAACCTTCCAGAATATAATTACGGTGTCCGTTTATGTCTCCTGCTCTTTCTGGCATGATAGCTAACAGTCCAGGTTTGTGTGTGTGTTTTATTTATATAGAAGAGGATTTATTCTGCTTGTTACAATACAGAATTTCCATCCATGCATTCTCTAAATCTAATTGAACCATATGTGTTACTTAGCATTACCGGGATGTAACACATGTGCTGAGTACTGAATGAATATGTGCTCGTAGACAGTTTCTGATCTGCTTTATTTGTATTCACTTGCAGTGGCTGTTCTATACCTGCCTCTTAGGAATGCGCTGTTTGTTCGGCTTGTGGTGATGCTGGTCGCAACTTTCTGTCTGAACTGTAAAAGTGACCAGCAGTAATTGAGCTGCAGCAAGTAAAGGCCAGCTACAGGCCTCGTGACCATCTTAGTTTCTCTCTAAAAAGCCTCCTGAGTGGCTCAGATGCAGCCGTGCTCCATTTTTGAGTCCCAGCAAAACAACGTGAGGGAGAAGCATTTTAAAGATGCTGCGTCCTCGTCACTCTCATCCATTACTCTTGCTGCAGAAAGGTGCAGCTGGACAGCAGCAACAACAACGTCTGACAGACATCAACTCAGTGCTTCTCACATGAAGCATCAAAGACTGAAGAAAACATGGACGTGGCATCTCTGCTGTCACTCACAGGGGTTTTGAAGTGATGCTTTGAAGTCTGGAATATGGGTTTTCACAGACATTTTGGACATTTGGACCAAGACATTTAAAAATGGAGCAAAACTAGCACAAACATTTATTTTGATATTTCAAACCAATTGAGACTGGCTCATAAAAAATAAATAAATGCTAAATAGAGAAATATCAATACTTTTTTCTCAGCACATAAAAGTGGACCAAAAGCACATTTTCAGGAGCTGCAGGAGATGTGAGGGTAAAATACTGATAAGATCCAGTCCCATAGCTGACTACAGCCCCTGATCATCAAACTTGAAGACCGCTATCTTTATATAGGAGATTCACTGATTACAGTTTTCATGTGTACTCGGTCACCACGGGCCGCTTAGACTTTCATTAACCTTGAGCTTCTGCTGCATCATCACCGAGGAGGTGTGCAGCAGCGGCGATGAACCCCACGGTCCATGTGGGGTTCAAGGGGTCTATCCTCTGGTGGACCGCAGCCACGGAGTTGCTGAAGATGGCGTTATGTGAGAATAACTGCATCAGCAGAAGTCAGAGATCCCCGGTGACGCTGATGACTGTTATTATATCTTGCATGAGAAAGTAGTGGGCGTATTATTCCAATGTTAGACACAGATTGGAATGTTAGTGACGAAGAATCTTTGATTGCAAAGCCATTCCTCTTTCAAACCAAGCAGGAATCACTCGTCTTGCCACTCATGCTAAATCCCTCTTCCCAATCCTGCTTCCCCTATATCTGTTTCTCGCAGCCCTCCCTCATTGAGACTTAATCAGTTCATCAGGCGGAACACAAGGGCAGACTGTGGAGCACGAGCTTCTGCATAAATGAGCAGATTTCGTTCCTCCGATGCATGGAGGTGGTGATGTATGGGCTCGGTTTTTCAGTGTAATATTTGATTTGAATGCATCACCCGAGTGTATTTGAAATTCATCAGTGTCTGTAGAGAGTGGAAAAGACGAGGATTCAGAGAGAAAAAGATTTCAGATTGCAAAAAGAAGTTTTGAATACTCTTGTGTGATTTCTTTTCTGTAACCGTGATATAACGCTGCGTTG